CCCCCCCCCCCCCCCCCCCCCCCCGCGCGCGGTCTCCTTTTTTTTCTTCTCCTGACCCTGACTTTCTCATACACTCCGGGCTCGTTGTTTTGATTGTCTTTTGTGTTGCGGAGAACAGGGAGCTCCTGATGGGCATCTACGAAAAGGGCTTTGAACGGCCGTCGCCCATCCAGGAAGAGGCCATCCCGATCGTGCTGCAGGGCCGCAACCTGCTCGCCCGCGCCAAGAACGGCACCGGGAAGACGGCGGCTTTCATCATCCCTTGCATAGAAAAGACCGACGCCAAGCGCAACCACATCCAGGTACGGCGTACGGCAGCAGTCGCGGCCCTCCCTCCCGGCTTCAAGGACAACACTAGATTTTTCACAAGGGGTGTCTGGCAAAACGAACATATGGTGTATACTGGGGTTTTGTGATTTTGTGGACAGTTCCTCGCTTTTGCAGTAGGACACATTTTTCGAAAAAATGAGCGAGTGACCTGAAGTGAGGTCGACTACTGTAGAATAGACAACCGATCATTGTTGTTTTTGAGGACAGTTGCTGCCTAGACGTATCAGCAGCGTGGCCGTCTCTATGCTGAGCGTAGGAGGGCGGGGGGACAGGAGCATGTATCCCCTGCACCGGAATCGTAGATAGCCAAAGCGCAACCGACTGAGGTTTTTTCGCATGTGGAAGCAGGGTAGCTGCAATTGTGTGTCCCGGGCGGCGCAGTTTCGTTCCTCCAGATCGGTGAAATGTGATCCGTGGCCACGACTGCTCTGATTCTTGATTGTACGTGCAAGCAAGGGCGTTTACGTTGGCGGGGAGTGCCAGTGTCGAAACCCAACATTGTGGCCGCGGCAATCTAGTGGTTGTTCGCTTCCACGTGTTCGAACGGGTAAGGCCGGACAAGAAGGTTCACATTGGTGCCCTCACCCATGTCCTCGTGTTCTACATGACGCGACGCCGGCAACGGCATGGCTCCATTCCGCCGTATACGTGACCGAGCCTTCCGTCGGTCCTTCCCCGCTTCTCTCTCCATTCAACCGGCCTTCATCAACGTGTGCTGCCGTATGCATAGGTGCTCATGCTCGTGCCAACGCGCGAACTGGCCCTGCAGACGTCGGCAATCGTAAAGGAGATTGGCAAGCACACTGGCGTGCAGTGCATGGTGAGCATGCGTTTGGAGGGCGGGAGAGAAAACATGCGGGGGGAAGGTATCGCGTTGTGCGGCAGCGCTGCTGTTGGTGGTTGCTCGATGTCCGATTTGATGGGGGTAGTGTGGCTTGTGGTTGTTCGTTCGAAAGGTGAACGACGAGTAGTTGGTGGTGTGACTGAGGGTGTGGGGCGATTGGGTGATAGGGTGACACGGTCTGGGGACAGCAGCTGAAGCCATGAGCTGTAGGGCGACACAACAGCTTCAGTGTACGAATAATCAGTGCGTGCAAACGACTAAAGAGCAATATTAATTACCACGGCAATATTTTGCGGTGACACGATTTGTGTTCGCGCTGATGCTGGGAGTTGGGATCCCATAGTGCGACGACTGTTTTTCGACGTCTCTCCCCTCCCCTCCCGCTGTCTTGGACCTCGATCTCGCGACGCCGGTGCGCAGGTCACAACCGGGGGTACTACCCTGAAGGACGATATCATGCGTCTCTACAACGTGGTGCACATCTTGGTCGGCACCCCTGGACGCGTGCTGGACCTCGCGGACAAGGGCATCGCTAACCTCAAGGAGTGCACCACTCTCATCATGGACGAGGTGAGGTCCTTGTTTGCTTAGCCCCCCCCCCCCCCCCCCCCCCCCCCCCCCCCCCCCCCCCCCCCCCCCCCCCNCCCCCCCCCCCCCGCCCCCCCGCCTCCCCTCGGTGTTTGCCATCGGGATTGGGTTTTCGTCGCTTGTGTGTGTGTGTGTTTTTTCGTCCTATTTATTACGGCGACAGTTCCCCCATTTTTCGTGGTGCGACGTGTACTACACTTTTCAGCGTATGTAGAGTGCTACACTTTTCAGTGTATATTTTCGTACAACTACAACCATCCAGGGTCACACAGGAGGGGGTAACGACGCAACGATGTTGTAAAATAAGCCAATTCACTTCGTGAACTCGGCAGCCAGGTTACCGTTGTTTTTTGCCTCTGTTTTTTTTTGGCGGTAACCATAATGGTGGTCGAGTAGATCATGTTGTGCGGGGTGGAGAACCCTCACTCTGCGCAAGGGGGATGATCGCACCGCGTTGTGTTAAAATGGTCAAGCATCCTCGAGGCAGTTACCCAGTGCTTATAAATGTCTCTGGAAGTGAACGCACCAGAAAACATATTAAGTCCTACGCAGCANGAGCCTGGTCCGGTGAGAACCCGGCGTGCTCCGTCCCGGCTTTGTAGGGATGCGAGGTCAATGGTCTAACGACTACGGCATGCACGCCTATGAGTACACCCCCCTCCCCCCGCCGAAGCATACGTCCGTCCCGACTTGACAGGGATGCGAGGTCAATGGCTTAACGACTACGGCATTTATCAATGAGTATAACTGGTCGCCCCGGTGGTCGAGTGGTAACCCCCTACACCGCTAGTCGCAGAGGTCGTGAGTTCGAATTCCCATGGGGCAAAAATTTTACAAAATTCGCGGATGAAAGCGAAATATAGCTGAAAGTACCAAACTTCGACGTTAGCACCGTTGACGAGGGAAAGGGACGGCAAAGGGACGGCTGGACCCTTTCCGCGATAAAAATTAAACTCAGCACGCACCGCAGGAGGAAGGTGGGGTATGTAAATAAACATCAAATATGACAAAAGCCCTGGTGTTTACCCCCTCCTGTGTGACCGTGGATGGTTGTAGTTGTACGAAAAATTACACTGAGAAGTGTAGTACTCTACATACGGTTCTCTCACCACGAAAATGGCGACTGTCGCCAATATATATAGGACGAAAACACAACGCAAACAACAACCCCTCCCCCCCGGTGTTTCGCCACCGGGGTTGGGTTCACGACGCTTGGCAAAGACGTTGTAAAACAAGCCAATTCACTTCGTGAACTCGGCAACCAGGTTACCAGTATTTTTTGTTACCTCTGTTTTTTTT